TGTTGCTGATCAGGTTTGGGCGCAGCTCCAATGGGCAGGACGTGTTGGAGGATAAGATTCAGCCTCGGGACTGGGAGTCTGCCCCTGGTCAGATCTGGAGCATGGCCGTGCCCCAGAGGTTTGGCAAGAAGTGATCTGGCAGCTGGACCCACATGTCACTGTTCTGGAACAAGGCTGAGCAGATGTCTGCAGACTAAATGAAGATGAATAAAATCTGAAAAGTATTAGCATATTTTTTTCCTTTCTGATGAATATTGTAGTCAGCCAGTCACAACTTAAATTGTGATTAAGACTAAAATGAGATTTTTTTTTCTTAAACTTCTAGCATACAAAAATATGTTAACTGGTGTTTTGTATCAACTGGGAGGATTGAGAATAAACACTGGAAGTGTTCATTGTAATTTGTCAAATAAAACAGCTTTGAACTAGAAAACTGTGTGAAATATAATAAAGGCGGACCCTTCAGGATGTATGTAGATTTGAGAAACTAAAAAAAAACAAAACAAGTGAATAATTTAGTAATAAGCTGTACATGTTGATGGGGTATTAAGTGAGTTCAAAGCAGTGAATATGTTGATCCTCTGTGTTACACTGCAATCGTCTCAACACGTTCAGCTTACAACTTACTAAACCTTCAGCCTCTATTTGCGAGATCCTACATAAAGCAATCTGTTTTACAACTTATTGCAATGACTGCAGAATTTAGCCGTTAAAATGCTCTGGGAGATAAATGCAACAAAGTACTGTGTCTACATTACTATACATTTAATCACTTCAGAGCAATTAGATAACAGTTTAATAAAATTATTGTGAAAAGGATGGAAACAGTCTTATTCAGCATCCGTCCCTTTAACGTGACGCCTCTGTCCTCAGCCACACTGACGGCTGTTGTCTGTGTTGGATATACAAGCACCTGGGGAAGCAGCATGCAATAAGCTTGAGCTCTAATTAAAACACAGCAACATGCAATTACTCTGCGAGTTAATGGTTTCCACAGCCAATTACTGGGAGGGAATATATGTCCTTCCCTCTTAGTATGAGCCTTTTATTAGGGTGTCCTCCCATTTCCTTTGTCAAGGGACAGGAAAATGAAAGAACCAGAAATTGCACAACTGGTGCAATTCAGATCTAGATAACATCCTTAGTGGCTCATTTTTAAACCTGTCAAAGGCTTCATGTCATGTGACCATATATGTGCACAATAATTACAACAGGGCCTTTTATTTGTAACTTTTACACCTTTTACAGAAATAATCTCAAAACATCAACAGGGCAGCCATCCAGTGATTCATTAACTCATGGCTTGAAGATTTATACATAAATTCAGATTAAAAGATTTATCTCTTCAAAGTCAAACACTGAACCACTGGCAGCTAAATACAATGCTGTTTTTGTTTAAACTTAGACAATAATTTCTCAACGAGCTTACTCTTAACCAAGACTTAAAAATGTATTATTTATTTTGTATTCATAAAAGAACAAAGGATACATCAAACATGACAGAAGGATCAGCATTCCCCACCTTTCCCTTCCCCCCTCATGTAACAGTGAGGATAAAGACAAGAGTAAGAACTGATTGCTGTTTTTTTTTATGGTCCCCATGCAATAACAACCTTATTGATTGGTGCCCCAGCCCCCAACCCCTCTTTCCAATAGTTGCTGCACAACGATGTCTTCAGTCAGGAAATACATTCAGAGACCGATGATCCTGCAGGGAAATACACTTTGAAAACGGATCACAAGGCATACATGAGCAGAAGTAATTTTTTTAACATATTTTTTTTCTGATCTCTTGTAATCCTCTTAGGAGTCACTAATGTTTGACAATATTAGTACAACAACAGGCATGATTATGTGGAGCTGTTAGCTGCACTTGACTATTCTCTGTTGTACAAATTAAACTGTTGGTGGCTTTAAAGCAAAAAGAGCGAACATGAGGCATCAAGAAGGCAAGCATAGGAAAAGCTGGGTGCTCTTTTCTACATTGTTGGAGCCCTTTATCAGCACATCTGGGTTAAAGAAGGTCTGAACTCATCTGAATTTCATGAGTCCACAGGGGGGCTCTGGAAAAAAAACGCCTGTGTGTGCACTACAAAGAGACAGACTGAGAGAAATACCAAGGGAAAAAAACCACAACATATAAACTGATTTAAACATTGTGTCTTGTACACTCTCTGGAACTCTAAGAACAACTCTGTCCAATTTAAGCTTTTTGACTTTTCTCCAACCGTCCTCTTTCCCTCATGTTCATCACCATTGTCTAACAGCAAAGGGAGAAGTGGAGGTCAGTAGTCAGCACACTCCAGCATTGTCTGTCACATCAAACAGAGTTTAATGTTTGCAAGCTGACTGAATGGAACCAAACAGGAGAAAATGAAAAGCCATAAGAAGCAGGTTTTAAAAGTGACCCCTGTGGCAGTAGAGGGCAAACATGATTCCTCGGGCTAATGCAAAGCTTTCCCTGCCAGGCAGGATCTAAACCATTTACACTGAATGTGTGTGATTTCTTATGTAAATCACAGGCTCACACATACATTTCTACCTAAATAACAATTATTGAACAAATTCTTGCTGATAAAAGGGGCTGACATCAAAGCTACTTTTTGAGATTTAAAGAAACAAGTCATTATCAAACTTTTTTTAATCATTTGGGTCATTTCTTTATTAGGTGATTCCACTGCAAGCGATTGCAAGGAGAACAGTCGTCTCCCAGCTTACTTTACTTTTTGGTTTTATTTCCCACTGTGCAATCTGGATGTAAACTTGAAAATCTTAAATAGTAATTTGTAGCTCCAGGATTTTACATAGCAACTGCATTCACCTCAAGATTTAATGGTTAGAGACTAAATTGCTTTGAAATCAAAACAAACCACAGAACAGATGGGGCCTAAATCAGACCTGCAGCACCTAAAGAAACATTACACACCTAACAGAATTTAATGTAACGTTTATGAGAATCGGAAATATACAGTGTTGCTTTTTCTCAGGGGTGTTATTGCATTATTTATCAGCAGTTTTTACCACCCAGGAAACAACTGCCTGTTTTTTAGTTGTGCTAAAATGCTTTGGGATATTTTTTTCCACTAATTTCATGCTTAATTGGGGAGAAGGGATGTCTATTTCAGGAATGAAATAGACTTTTTTGATGGTTTTCTCTGAAGGTTGTTTGGGAGAACATGCAGCCAGCTGCTGCCAGCTCTTTCTTTTTGACAGAGAGAGAATTTAGACTTTTATTGACAGTTTAGTCACAAATACATAATTCAGAAAGCCTCCAATTACTGTGGTGGGTTTTCATTAACATCACGGCTTTTCACACGAGAGAAAGAAAAATGTGATTGTTTTGTGTTTAGGCAGCTTGCAGCATACTTTCTAAAAAAATTAAAGGGATTCACAATTTGAACATTTTAGTACTCCTGGATGAAGTTACAGGCTTTTACATTTGATTTGGGAAGAAATCTTACTGCGGTTTTGTAATAAGTCTATTTTTTAAATTAGGTGTTTTGTGCATGTTCTAGAAATGATGCAGTGCAACCTGACTGATTGAGCCAGGGAAAACATTTCTACATTTTACCTTTCCTATTTTATCAAGGCTGAAATGTGAACATATAATTGAGCTTACATAATACATACATTTAATTTTACATAATGCAAATTAAATGAGTGATAAAAATGTAAAGAAAAATGGGATATTTTATCCCTTTTTTTCGTCATGTACCTATGTCCCTGGAACACAAATTTTCAAAATATTGTTTTACTTTATGCCACTATTAAATTCAGTTCTGAAACATATACGATACTTAGAATTAACCTCTCAAGTGCCAGTTTTACAGCTTAAAATCTCTTGTGTTTCTTTATTTTATTTGGAAAACACAACTAATTCTATTCAGAAAATTTTAAAAGGATTTCAAAGCCATGAGAGAAAAAGTACTAATTTTGAATGTAAATAAAATTGCTGCTGCAGTGTATTTATAAAAGACAGTTTAAACAGGAGTGAAGATTACAAAGACAGTTCTATAGCAGACAGATTCCCTTATTTGACGTGAAAGGTAGATGAAAGACTTCAAGGCAAAATAAAATAATACAAAAAAGAAAAAAAAATACTCCACAAAAGTCCAATCAAACTGTGTACTGGTGGCAACATTATATATACATATACATTATATACACACACATACATATATAATTTTTTTTTTTTTTACTGTTATAATAAAGTCTGGCATTTATGCAGAACTGATGCCGATTTGTTTGTAAGCCACACCTTTAGCGATGTGTGCAGAGTTAGAAAGCTGCAAGCTTTTATTTGATTTCTTTTTCATCAGAATCACTGCAGATCTGATGCACCATATGCTTGTTGGTGGTGTCAGGTATCAGGACCCAGCAGACGTGTGATATGGGGGACACTCAGGCCAAGAAACAATCGATAAAGACTGGGGTGGCCGACAGACAAAGAAAACATTGCATCGGCACATTTGAACAAAGCTCAGATTATTACACAAATTTTGTTTCCAGACAAACTTATCTAATGTTAAAGTAGTGAAGCAAACTAAACAATATGCATTTATTCATTTATCAATTAAGCCACTTTAACTGTCAGCATAATTGCAGTTTCAAAATGTTTTACTTTTATTTGCTGTCTCAATGAGGGAAGATGGAAATTACTGAGGTTAATCCTGTAAAATTATAATCAGTACACTGGTCTCTCTAGAGCCACTGAAGCCTGGGACCAGTGTGTAAAGAACACAGTGTGGGTTGGTTTTAAGCATGTGTAGGTTGCTGATTTTAAAAATACTCCCAAAGACGCGATCGACTCTTTCCCCCTTCAGCAGAGATAGAGAGAGCGTTTCTTTGTCATCCTGACTCTGCCATCTGTGCAGAGGATGCTGCAGAACAGCCCTGAGATGAACCAGCCAATACGGAGACACAGAATGGTGAAGAGAGGGTGGGGCTTCGTGTGAAAGGGAGCGTAGTACAGCAAATGGGAGAGAAGGAGAGGAGAAGAGGTGTCCCTGGCTCAAAATGCCCTTGCCTGAACACTGAGGGCTTGGAGAGGCTGAGAGGAAGGAGAGGGGAGCTGGGAAAGACACGCCGGCAGGTGCTGACGACAGGACAAGTGTATAGGTCAGAAATAAGAAAGCTTATTAGGGGAAGGTAGGGCAAGAGATAGAATAAATAAAAACTAAGAAAAAAGAAACTGGCCATTTTTTGGGAAAAGCTGGAGCCCACTTCTTTTTTTTAAGCCTGGTTCAATTACCTCTGCACGGATTCTCCTCTTCGTCTTCTTGTTCTTGCTCTCCTCTCTGACAGACAGCACCACCATGGAAACTGGGAGCCCCAGAAAGATTCAATTCACCGTCCCCCTGCTGGACACCCACCTGGACCCAGAGGCAGCAGAACAAGTAAGACGGAAAGCAATGGAAAATTTAAAAAGGGAAAAAAAATGGGGAAGGAAAGCTGGCTGTGTGGATTATTCAGAATCTGGATGTCTTCATGAATGGATGTTTGGAAAAGTGAAGGATCTATACTTTCAAAACAAATTGTTCAAGATTATTAGTAAGAATAAATTATTAGATTCAGACAGTTGAGTGGAATTTAACCAAGATCCATTTTTGCTGAGCTGCTCAAGAGAGTGTGTCACAAATTCTGTGTAGTCTTTGATAAAAGCACAAGAAAAACCTTTAACACTTGATGTATGTCCTGAATGCAGAGCAGTTGTAAGGCCAATTAATTTATGATTGATTTTTCCACCTACCTAGACTCACAGCTTGGGATTTTAGTAGTTGGCACTTTGGGTCCTAGCAGTGTTGAAAGTGAGGTTGGAGTTCAAACATGCCTCCCAAGGGGTTTATCTGGCCAATTGAAATCTAACATCTTTCAGACAATCAACACTTCAACATAGGAAAAGACTGCAAAATATACCTTTATGCACGTTGATTTTGAAAAAAAAAAAAAGTATATTACCGCTTTTGTCAAGATCATCTATGTTTTTCTTAAATCTATGTAACCTTAACAGCATGTTTGGTTAGGTAGCTCAGCTGGTCAGAGAGTGCTGCTAATAATGCTGAGGTCATGGGTTCAATCCCCATACTGGCCAATTGAAAAAATAAAATCAACACTTCAAAATTGGAATAGGCTGGGAAAAAAAGATCATTCATGTTGATTTTGAAAAACTCAGATTGTGAACACTTATCTCAAATAATATTTATGGTAAGATCATGTAAGTTTTATCTTAATTTCATGAAAACTCATTTTTTGTTTTCACAGATTGACTGCTCATGGTTCCAACCTTTGAAATGCCAAAATAGATTCTGTTGCATCATAGTTTAAAATTTAAATCACTATTGCTGGTGTAAGTATTTCTCCTTCCAGCCTAATAGTAACATTAGTGTTTGTCATTAGCAAACTCATAATGTTTGTTTCAAAATATGGGGTGATGTAAGAAATCTGCATTTTATGAGATAGGAGGGAATAAGGCTTAGTCAGTGGAAAATCCCCATGCGAGCAGTTCTTGTGCCTGTGGAGAATAGCGTGTGAAAATATGTCAGGTTTTCTCCTTTTTATTAATATAGAATGAAGATGACGGCTCATTCATAATGAAAGAGAGTTGCGTACAGCCAGCAAAGCTTTAAGAGTCTGCCTACATCTTCTTCTTCCCTGTATCTTTCTACTTTTCAGTGTTTTCTTCACTCTGACTGAAAAACACTGGGGAACTGTGGATGCCTGGAGACTTCTCAATGCTTTTCTGTTTATTTATTTTTACCTGTGAAATGATTGTCAGGAACTGTGTGAGGTTGTAATCAATTTCAGGTTAAGGCCAAGACAGAACATTCATAGAAAGTTGAGTGGAAGGAAAAAGCATGACACAAAAAGGTACACCAGCATCAGGGACATCCACAGACTTGAGAGCATAATCCAGCTAAATTCATTCAGAAATTTGGGAGAACTTCTTACAGGGTTGATTGACTGCAGTTTGGATTCATTTAGAAACTAAGTCTGAAGGAAGAGTGAAAAGGCACAGAATCCACATTGCTTGAAGTTCAGAGCATTTCAGTCAGTGGTGATTGTTTCTATTACAACCCAGATCCATCAATTAAGGCATGTCTGTCAGGTTCTGAGGCAGCCAAGCCCCAGACCATCACAATGTCACCACTATGTTTGACAGTTGGCACAATGTTTTTTTTTTTTTCTGAAATGCTGCATTATTAGTCTTTCCCCTTTTGTGGAAGCTATTTTAGTCTCTTTCTCTATTGTTGAATTAAGAAGGCTGAGAAAACCGAGGCATGCAGCATATCAGATTTTGTTCTGTGTTCCTCATTGATCTCCTGGATGAGTTAGGGTCATTTTGGTATACACTATTCATAAGGTTCTCCACTCCATGGAAGAACCACTCCATGGTTCCTCCATTTCTGAAGAAAATCTCATTGTCTGAAAAAATCTCAATGTCTTAAAATTGCTGTTTATCTCATTCCAGACTAATAGATGTTATGATTTAATTTCTGATCTGTCTTTGAACTTATTTACTTTGTGGCATACTGATTTTGGAGGTCTTTTGCCAATAACATGTCAGGTATGGCAATTTTAAGGCTCTCATATCACAGCTCAACTTATTCAAAATGTGTTTATAGAGAGGCTCACAATATTCTCTGATCTTGTGTTTGCTTCCTTATACTCAATAGTACACATTTCCTTTTGGCTGTGTGCAAATAAAATAAAGTTTTCTTTGACCTATAAAACCCAGATGGATTTTAGCTCACAACCTCAATACAAGCATGATGAAACCTTTCATGATGTGCCAGTGGGACTCTTCCTTTTCAGGATGCATTTTCAATTTATTTCAGCATTACTAAGAGCATCTCGCTCTCCATGCTGGTTCTCAAGTGGCGTTGTATTTTTATTATAAGTATTACTGTGACCAGAAAGCCCAGAAGGGGCAAACAAACAGAGAGGAACCTCTGAATGTGAATAAAGGATCATGTTTATAAATTTCACACCAAAGGGGTTTCACTCATGCTTCAGTAATCCTTGCCCCCTGACACCTCTCAGCATTGTAAACCAGCCATATGGAGACCTGGGGTGTCAGTCAGGGCAGTCTCAGTGGGCTCCTGATAGATAGCAGCAAAAACAGCCTCATATTTCACCAATACGCCAACATTGCATAAATAGACCTAAAAGAGCAGATTGGCAAAACTGTATAAAGGCCTAATGACTAATTGAAGACTCTCAGTTTGGGAACTCAACCTAAAGCAGAGAGAGTAAGTCCTCTACTCCAGATAAAGACTAATTGAAGACACTTTCATTGGACGTTTTAGCTGAGTTGGTGCTGTGTCCGCTACAATTATTACATTGCAAATATGCAGAAAATTTAGATCCTCTGTTTTCTATCTCAAGCTGTTGGCAGTCATTTTATGACAACTTAAATCAGCATCTTACTGTGCCATGATACACTTAGAACAACATTGATTCAAAGACTGCTCCATAGTGTTTTGTGCTTTTTGTACTTTTGGATTTTGTTGAAGGATGGCAAAGGGTGTTAGCTTGAGGAGCAGTGTACCTGCTGATTTATGTTGAAGTATCAATGAAGAAGAAAGGTACCTGCAATACTTGCAGTAATATTGTGAACCTTATGCTCATTTAATTTCAGTATTTCACCCTCTGTGCAGCAGGCATTGCTGTAATTGGAAACAGGGACATGACTGAACCCTCCTGTAGTCCACTGTGCTTAAAATTTAGGTCAATATCAACAAAACAAAGCTTATAGAATTATGTATTCTGCTAGCAAGCAGATTCAGTGTATTACAAAAGTATTCAAACATTCTTTTTGGTCAAATCAAAACTTCAACTGAAAGTTTTTCACATTCTTCTAAAAAACTAATTTATGAATGGATGAAGAACACCTGTGAGCAGTGTTCAGGTTTTGCCAGAGATTCTCAATTGTATTTAAATCTGGACTTTGATCACTTGTCAGACTAACTATGTTATGTAGTTCCTGAAATGTCTTTGTGGTCTGATTTCATCTATTTATACATGATCATGTTTGTATAGAATATTTCATTTTATTTTTGTTCATTGCCACTAATTATGCTAGTTTCTCACAGATGTCTCTTCTTTGGGTTGAATGCCTGCTTGTCTCTGATTGGCTAAGATGCCCTTTAACCTCTATATAGACACATCGTTTGTCTGAGCTCTGTAACAAGCTGACGACAGCACTTGGGTGAGTTAAATACTATTCTCCAGTGCTTGCTATCCCTATTTTTTATGCGTCTTTCAAAGGGCTGATGATTCATTGGGATTTTTTGACTCCCTGAGGAATGTTTATGTCAAAAGTACTGAAATTTCCTTCGCACTTTAGACCATGTCAGAAAAGTTTTTTTTAAAGAAAAAAGTGTCCATAACTGGAATAGATGTTGAAAAACTGCAGTATTTCAGGTTGTTTTAAGTTGACAAAATGTAAAGACATTCTGAGGAGACCAGAAATAGATCAGTAATTAAGTTATGGATGAATATATTAAGTGGTGACTCTGGACACTGTAGGAGGCTGTATTTACATCAATGCAGAGTCTCAATGATGAAAAACCTGCTTGTTATCAGAATGTGTATGAATTTTTGGTTATTGTACTGGACAATGAGAGTAAAATTGAAGTTGCCTATAAGAATCCAGAAGGTCTTTATCAACTACAAAACAACCTACTACTCCTTCATACATATGGTTCAGTTTTTAAGGGTCCTAGTCTGTGTTGCATTCAGGACGAACAACGCCCCCGGTGTTGGATGGGTGTGAGTCTGGCATGAGTGACATATCAGAACTCACCACTGATCACAGCTTATGTGTCATACTATTTTGAAGTAATAATAACCACTTGCCACTTCACAATTTGCAGTTTTAGTTTAAAATGTTTGGATTTCCTTGCTAAAGTAGCTGAAACATGCTATGAAGGTAGATCTAAAGCTACAATATGGCTCAGGACAGCTAGCAAGGTTAGATGATTTCCTGCGACCCATGCTTTCTCATTTTCTGAGCATATTTTGAACTAAAACATGTTTTTCTTGTTGCTTTAATCACAGTTACCAAAAAGGTTCAGACATCAATTGGGGTCTTTCTACGTTAAGTATGGCTTGAGTTTTCTTGGTAACATCCTTTTTCTTCCACTCCAAGTCCATAAAACATTTACTTGCCAGGTTAATAGAAGTCACAGAGATTTCAGAATGGCCTTATGCTCATGGAGTGCTTCTCTGAGTGATAATGATGAACCTTAGGGATGGGTGAAAAATAAAAAAATTAACTGAAATGGCTGATATGCATTTAACTGTATAAAAATCCCTAATTATCTCTATATAAAGTTCTGAAAAAATAGAAAGTGAAAGCCATTTATTCAGTCCAGGGTCAGAAACCTGAATTTAA